GGAGCTACCCACATGGCGCAGCAGACCTCTCCTGTCACCTGCTGCTCCCCTCAGCAGTGTATTTCAGTAGATCTGCCTGTTCTGCTCCCCACTCTGTCTCTGGTGAGTCCTCTCACCCCTCCATACCTCTGGCCTGTACCCCAGTTTTTGTATGCATAAATAAATCTTAAAAAAAAAAGAGAGACCCTAGTGTTGCTTCTCTCCTCTCTGTTCTCTTTTGAAGAGAGTTAGAAATGATTGCTTAAAGATAGAAAAGAGCAGGCTTGTAATTTCTGTGGATCCCAGTCTTCCTAATCAGTCACTTGACAGGCAACAAGGTTGAGAGGAAGCTTATGAAGAAATAACATGTATGGTTAACTACAGCATCTCAGACATTGTATCAGTTGGGAATCTCCTAGCAGGGATAGTTCTCAAAAACAATATAGATCTAGCCCAGAATTGGGGATGACTGGGAAAAGGAAGGTGAATTCTGCAACCTACTCCTTGAAACATTGTTTTCTTAGAAAGCATCAATCTGGGGGCTTCCATGGGGGTGCAGGGGTTAAAGACACAGCGCTATCCAGCTATTCACAGCCACTGCAGGACTAGTTCTATCCTCAGGCAAGGGAGCAACCCCACATGGCGAGCAGACCTCTCCTGCCTCACCCTCTGCTCCCCTCAGCAGTGTATTTCAGTAGATCTGCCTGTTCTGCTCCCCATTCTGTCTGGTGAATCCTCTCGCCTCCCATACCTCTGGCTTACACACTAGTTCTTGTATGCATAAATAAATCTTTAAAAAAAAAAAGCGAGCATCAGTCTGGATCTACTCATAACCTACCTTTCTTTGAACAGAAAAAATCATCTGGGTATTTCCTTCATCCTTTCTTCATAATTACTAAGATTTTGGCCATTATAAAAAAGTATATATGGAACTTAGGTGAGCTAACTAACTTTTCAAATTTTTTTCAGCAATAGTAACTTTTCAATAAGTTTCCATTGGAACCACAGTATTTAAAACATCAGCAATATCAGTATCAATTCATAAGATAAAAACAAATCAGAATAGATTGACTTAAAGTGAATCAAGTAGAGCATAATTACAGTTTTATTTCAGCCATACTCATATCCATGAAATATGAATCATTTCTACAACTCCTTCAATCACCTCCTAGGACACAGAAAACACTGAAACAAGTTAATCCAGGACCTAGAAAAGAAACAGTTTCAGAGGAAAAAAAACCTTGCTCCAAGTAAATCCCTTATCACCTGGTAAAGCCAGTTTCCTGTGTCTGTTACTCAAACATCTGAAGGCAGTTATGGAATAACTAAAACCCTTTGTTGTACACATTGATCTTCCTGTCACTCTTTTCCAGAGACCTCTCTCCAATTAAGGCCTTCCCTTTGGTACTCAATAAGCAGCCCATGTAATCAGTTATCAGGAAAGTTTTTAATAGCCACTCGACCTTGACCAATGTTAGTAATTCATTTATTAGTAAAATATTTCTTGAAAGTAGACTGAGCCAGGCACCTTGAGTTAAGAGTGCATAAGATACAGTTTTTGCCTTTCAGAAACTCACAGTCTACTAAGGTAGTTAAAAGAACAGGTTTAGAACATGCCAGTGATGTCAATATCTGAAGAATGTAGTCACTTCATGATAAAATCTGAAGAATGCTAAGACTGCTGCCATTTACCTTTATTGCCTGTGTTTACACCTAAAAATTCTTCTATGAAAGATTTATTCCTATGAAGAATTACATCTAGTGATTCTGTTAAGGATAGCTAGTACATTTAAACAATAATGCCAGGCCTCCCTGGTGGCGCAAGAGGTTAAGCACTGTACTATGAAGCAATCTCAGCCTCTGCAGCAGGAGTTCAATCGCCGGCCAGGGAGCAGCCCACATGGCGCAGCAGACCTCTCCTGACTTGCCCACTGCTCCCCTCAGCAGTGTACTTCGGTCAATCTGCCTGTTCTGTTCCCCAATCTGTCTCTGGTGAATCCTCTCACCCCCTGCATCTCTGGTCTTTACCCCAGCTCTTGTATGCATAAATACATAAATCTTAAAAAAAAAAAAAAAAAAAAAAACACTAATGCCAAGTCTTTTTGAACCAGACTACCAGGAACATTATGTTGAGAAGGATGCTGAGATCACATTCCAGCTACACAGGGGAAAACACTGTCATGAATAAAATCTGCCATGAGTAAAACCTTTGCTTGTGGAATGAAAATAATGAAGCAGGGGCTAGCCATAGTCTCTGGGGGTCTGGAAGACAGCCCACCTGGAAAATGATTTGTCTGCCCTATCACAGAATATTCAACTTCCCCCCAGCTAAACGGGAAATTCAGCGTCTCTTTCTAAACTCTATCTTCTTTATCCCTCTGTGCTCACCAATAGTAGAAATAGTCAATGTTTGTGTGAGTGCTTGGGAACTAGCATGTACCTTTGCTAAGGCAAAGTCCAGCCTCTCATAGGTAATGCACAGGTCAAAATGGGAGAGACTGCTACTTCCTTAGCCAATACCTTTTCTCCCATCTCCTATAGTAACAGGTCCCTTCATTTCTTGAGGAAAAGCAATATGCACACCTCAAAAATGATAGCTGGCCGTGTGACTGTCTGGCCAATAAAATGGCAGGTGGAATGAACAAAACCTGCATTAAAATGAAAAGACACTACTGAATTGGAGAAGATATTTGAACCTCATACAAAGGGTTAATATCTAAAACATAAAGCATTCATAAAACTCAACAACAAAAACAAACCACCTGATTAAACAGTGGACAGAAAATCTGAATACACACTTTTCCAAAGAAGACGTACAGATAGCCAATAAGACTCATGAAAAATGCTCCACATCTCTTGTTATTAGAGAAATGCAAATCAAAATGAGATATCACCTTATACCTATAAGACTGACTATTACCCAAAAGATAAGAAACAAGTGTTGGACAGGATGTGGAGAAAAGTGTACACTTATACACTGTTGGTGGGAATGTAAATTGGAACAGGTATTTTGGAAAATAATATGATGATGACTCAGAAAATTAAATATAGGAATTCCATAAAATCCACTTATTCCACTTCTGGGCGTTTAACCAAAAAATACAAAAACACTAATTTGAAGAGATATATGCACCCCATATTTACTGCAGTATTACTTACAATGTCAAGAGCTGGAAACAACCTTCAGTGCCTGTCAACAAGCAAATGGATAAAGAAGATGTATACACAACAGAATACTACTCAGCTAGAACAAAGATAAAATTCTGCCATTTGGCATTAGATGAATGGATCTAGAGAGTATTACACTTAGTGAAATAAACTAAAGGAGTCACACTGTGATTTCACTCACGTAGTTGTAGGGTAAGGTAAAAAGTATCAGGCTTTTCTGCCCTCCCGCCATTAGGATAGATGATGGAACCCTGCAGTCCTGAATGCATGCCTGATGGCGGGCACCTGGAATAGGTTGTGGGCATGTGTAGATGTGATACACCTGGGCTAAGACTGGGCTTTTAAGGGCGGCGTCACCGGGATGCCAACAAAAGCAGAGACCAGAACTGCCAGAAGGAACAGAACCACGAGAGCAGAAGAGAAGCAGAGAGGCCACCAGAGAAGGCCGGAGAGCCCAGACAGAGTGAAGACTTGCTGGGGACTGGGAGGCCTGCCAGCCTCTCGGCCCCCCAGTGCCTCTGCCTGCTGTGTACCTGGTAAATACCAATAAAAGCCTGCAAAAGCCACCAAGGGCTCCAGGACTCTCTCCTTTATCCCACCCAGTCTGCTGGATCAGAAAACGTGCTCCATGTCCATTCCTGCCCCTACATAGTATATAGAGGAAATGATGGTTAACTAGAACAGAAACAAAACAAAACAAAAACAACCTTTATACTATAAGACCAGTTAGAGATTACCATAGGGAAAGTAGAAGCTGTGATTGGTAAATCAGCTAAAATTAAAAATGTATGGTGAAGGCTAGAATTGGGCTTTTAGTGGTAAACATAATGTAGTGTATAGTCATTTTTAATGATGCACACGAGGCATTTTTTTTGCTTAGAATGTAGACATTATGACTGGAATTTCAGTGTGCACTTTTGAATACCAAGTGACCTTTAAATGGAAGCCATGGACTAAGATAATGTCCCTGTATGCTTTCTTTACATGATAGAAATAAAGCATTGTATAAACCACTGATATTTTCAACTCCCAAGTTATAGTAGCTGAGCCTTATCTGGCCAGGATTTGGCATTAGTCTTTAATACGGTTTTATGTATTCACATAGACAATTTTCAGTGTCTGGCCCCAGAAAATGGGGACTCTGATCTATAGCTGTGGGGTTGTCACATATACTTAGCACCCCCCAGCAGAATCCAGGTTGAAATGGAAAGATGCATGTAGAGTAAGTGAAAAAAGTGTCCGGCTTTTCTGCCCTCCTGCTATTAGCATTGATGATGGATCCCTGCGGTCCTACATCCATGCCTGATGGCGGGAACCTGGAGTGGGGTGTGGGCATGCATAGGTGGGTGCACCTGGGCTGAGACTGGGCTTATAAGGGCTGTGTCATGGAGAACCAGGAGGAGAGAACAAGAGAAGGAAGGAGAATGAAAGAACCAACAGACACACAGAGACCATGAGAGAGCGCCAGAGAGCCCAGAAAGAGTGAAGATTCACTGGGGCTAGGAGGCCTGCCAGCCTGCTGGCCCCCCAGCACTCCTGCCTGCCGTGTTCCTTGTAAAATCCCAAATAAATCTTGAAAAGCCACTGAGGACTCCAGGGCTCCTCCTTTACCCCTCTGCATAGGGTCATAGAGATCCTGCTTTGTGCCTTCCTGCCCCTACAATGCAATAGTAAGACTGGAGCCCAAACAGCACCTTGGTGGCAAAAAGAAGTGAATTCTTCCAAAAGAAAGGTTAGTTCCCCAAGAAACTAAAAGAATCAAATGTCTGCTATACTTTTAATTTAGTGTTCCTTCCAGCATCCCCAGAAATAGAGCTAAAGGTTTCTGTGAACAAGAAACTCCGTGAATGTACCTGGTTCATATGCTGAAGATCCACCTGACCCAGGAAATTGAATCCTGTTTAAAAAAAAAAACAAAAAAAAAACAACTTTTCAGCCTCCCTGGTGGCTCAAGGGGTTATGCACCGCACTATGAAGCTGTCCACAGCCTCTTAAGCATGAGTTCGATCCCCAGCCGGCCAGAGAACAACCACATGGTGCAGCAGACCTCTCCTGACTCACCCACTGCTCCCCTCAGCAGTGTATTTCAGTCAGTCTCCCTGTTCTGCTCCCCACACGGTCTCTAGTGAAGCTTCTCACCCCCCTGCACCTCTGGCCTGTATCCCCAGGTCTTGTATGCATAAATAAATCTTAAAAAATAAATTAAAAAAAAACTTTAATTTAATGTAGTCCCAGCTGTTTATCTTTGCCTTCACTATCACTGCTTTGGGGTGATGCGTCTATACAGATGTCTTTGAGGTGCATATCATGTAGTGTTTCGCCTGTATTTCCTTCTATATATTTTATGGTTTTAGGTCTTATGTCTAGTTCTTTAATCCATTTTGAGTTGGTTTTTTGTGCATGGTGTGAGGTAGTAGTCAAACTTCATTCTTTTGCATGTAGCGACCCAGTTTTCCCAGCAGCATTTATTGAGCAAACTGTCTTTGTTCCATTGCATATTCTTTGCTCCTTTGTAAAAGATTAGTTGACCATAGCTATGTTTATAGCAGCACAATTTATAATAGCTAAGCTTTGGAAACAACCCAAATGCCCAAAAATAGATGACTGGATCAAGAAGATGTGGTACATATACACAGTGGAATATTACTCAGCATTCAAAAAAGATAAACACATGCAATTTGCAGCAACATGGACGGCTCTGGAAGGGATCATGCTCAGCGAAATAAGCCAGAAAGAAAAAGAAAAATACCGGATGGTCTCACTCATAACAGGAATCTGGAAAACCTAAATAAGGGACCAGTGAAAAGAATAACTAAGAAAGAAAAAAATCAAAATCAACAAACAACTATGAACCAGAGACACACTTTGTTGGGGGGAGCAGGGAAAGGAGGGATTGGGGTCAAAATCAGGGGGTTGCAATTGTATGGGGAATATAAAAATAAAAAAATTAAGTTAAATAAAAATTTAAAAAAACAAAATAAAAATTAAAAAAAAGAAACAAGAAAACTTTTCTTTCCTAAGCCAGTTTTCATGATTCCTCCATTGGCTATTTGAAAAGGAGTGGAAAGGTGGTTTCTATTACATTACACTCTTTCCAAGACAGGTAAGAAGTCTTTCTAGTCTAAGATGACTGAGGGGGAGGGGTGGAACCCACAGAGGATAGTGTCTCCCATGACCAAGGCACTTTCACATGACTCTAGTTTTACTTGCTTCAGTTCACACTGTTTTCGTTCATGAGAAAACCCACCAGCATTTTAAAAGTGAAACAAGGATAGTTGAGTTGTGTGAACTTATTCCTTCTACCTATTATTAACCTTGGGGAACTCAAAACACTCTTCAGCTATAATTCAAGATTCAGATAGCCCTGGAGTTCCAAACAGAAGCTTCTCTTCCACAAAGAGAAGCTAGATACTATTGAAGTGGGTGGTTTTGTCACTCCCCTGCTTAAAATCAGTAACTTTTCCTTGTTTTTAGAATGAAAACTCAGCCTGCCGGGCGACCAAGTCACCTTCTCTCCGGCCCACTAGAACTGCTCACAGCTCACTCTTATGCCTGCCATTCTGCCTCTCATTTTGCTCATTTAACCCCATCCTCCTGAAACATCCAGCCAGCCTCCTCCCCCAGTTCCATGGGTTTTATTCCTGCTTGCCTTTCAAGACCCAGCCCAAACACTGATTTTTCTCTATTTCAACCTGGAGAACACACACTCACAAAAAGTGAATCTAAAGCCATTTTCTGTCTACTTTTGTTGTTTATATGCATTAATATGTTTTCTCTTCCTACTAAAATAAGTTCCTAAAGAACACCCTTGCCCCCTCAAGTTCCTTCTTTGTAGTCAGTCATGCCTGGTATCTTGGAAGCACCTAACAACTATTTGTTAGCTGATTGAGTAGGTTGAATGAGTACCTGAACATTCTTTCTTTTTTACCTTTGTAAGGTCAGGACTGGATATGTTATAGGACAGGGAGAGGGGCAGCCCAAACCCCGCAAATCTGCCTATTCTAAATGGGTTCTGCCATCCGCCGCATCAACACAAAACATATGACACTTTAATGGGAAGGGACTTTAATAAAAACTAGGAAACAATACAGGTGAGGCAAAGAGTCTAGTTTCTAAATGAAGCACCCAAAGTTACCCATCCCCTCGTGGGTAAAACTCCATCCATATGGGGTCGGCCCAGAGCAAGGCCCCAAAGCCTGCCACAAGTCTAAAGCATCTTCCAGTGGGGACCCACAGCAAAGGGTCACAAACAACCGGACAAGCCCGGAAGGAAAAGAGCAAAATCAACATCCAGATAAAAGCTGCCATTGTCACCTCCCCACGGGTCTCACCCACATCTGTGTCACCCAGTCCACGACCAAAAGACAAGCGCAGTTTCTTCACGTGTCTCTAGGCTCCATGCGCCTCCTCCAGGTCTCCTGGCTCCATCCTGCTTCCTTCCTCCGTCTCTTCCTCAGCTTCCTCTCTTCCTGCTCAGCTCCACCCTCCCTTGGGTGGGGCAGGGAACCTCCCCCTTTCCTGGGGACCACCCTGTTGCAGATACAGTGCAGGTTTTCTGATCCCATGCAGACCGGGTAAAGGAGGAGTCAGAGTCTTTTATTGGGGTTCACCAGGCATATGGCAGGCGGGGTGCTGGCTGGGGGGCTGGGAGGTTGGCAGGCCTCCCAGCCCCCATCAAGTCTTCACTCTATTTGGGCTCTCTGGCGTTGGTTCTGCTGCTTCTCGGCTTTTCTTTCAGCTTCGGCTTTGGCTTTTACTGGTGCTGCTACTGGTGCTGCTGGCGTCCCCCCGTGACACCGCCCTTAAAAAGCACAGTCTTAGCTCAGCTGAATCCCATCTACCTATGCCCACACCCTATTCCAGGTGCCCGCCATCAGGCATGCATTTAGGATAAGAATCCATCATCTATCCTGATGGCGGAAGGGCAGAAAAGCCTGACATTTTCTTTACCCTACAACCTTCATCTTCTAGTCTGGTATTTTTCTTTCTCCTCCCTTTGTTCTCAGTAATACAAGGGCAGGGGGTGAATTGGGGCAGGAGAAGAGAGTAGCTGGTGATGATTGTAGATCATGGTTCCTAAGACTTGGCACTGCACTGGACAAGGGATTGAACAAGCAGAAATCCAGGAAGAAGGCAGCATTTCGGGTTAGCTACAGGGATGAAGAGACAGAGCAAGGATGACCAGCTTGAATTTAAGGCTTATAACATAGAACAGCTGTAACTTGAATAGGATCAGAGCACCTGAACTTAATAGAAGAAACTACTAATGAAGTTCAGACAAATATCTGAAACATCTGCCACTCAACACCTTAGGCTAAGACAAAACACCAGCCACCTCCTGTCCCAAGCTGAAATATCTAAAACACTTGCCACCCAAAACACTTTACAAAAGGATTTTCAAATTCTTGAGTTTACTAGAGGTGATCATTTGATGTCTATTGTCCTGATCCTCTTTTAAACATATTACCCCTCACTGATACCAGCCAGGCCCATGACTACAACTACAAAACAATAGCTGGAAATTTATCTTCACTAAATCAAAAAAGGAAACAGAAGAACATGATACAAATGCCAGAACAACAACAACAAAAAAATCCCTGAATGAAGTGGAAGCCCCAACTCAAAGGAGTTGCTGAGCATGACAGAAGGTGAATTCAGGACAACAGTCCTGGCAATGCTGATGGAACTTTAAAAAAAAAAGCAAGAGGATATAAAACAGTAACATAATAATTAAAAATAAATAAATTTATTTAAAAAACAGAATAAAGATAGTGGAAATATGAGGCAGCTAAATTCAGAAGTAATGGCATTAAACATTATAGCTGATTTAAAAAATACAATTTAGGGTCTTCAATAATAGACAAACAGAAGCAATGAAGATAATGAACTTGAAAACACAATACTGGAGAATATAAGAATAGAACAAAGTTAAGAAAAAAATAAAAATAATGGAAACAGTATAAAAGCTCTCTGGAAAAACTTAAGGAGAAATTAACATCCATTATGTAGCTCCAAGAAAAGGAAAAGAGAAAAGAAAGGGAAAAGGAAAAGGCATAGACAATTATTTTTCAAAATAATAACTGAATAACTGAAAAACATCTCACTCTAGGATTGAACCAGAAATTGTGATTCAATAGGCCCAAAGAATTCCAAACAAAATAATACCAATAGACCTACACCAAAACACATAATGATAAAGCTGTTGAAAACCAGTGACAAGGACAGAATACTCAAAATAATCAATAGAAAAAGGGAAATCTACAGGGAAAGCCAGTCAGACTACCAGCAGATTTTTTCAATAGAAACATTCTAATAACAAAGGGATTGAAAACATATATTCAAAGTGCTAAAGGAAAAAGACTTTCAGCCAAGTATACCAGCAAGATTTAATAATCAACATAAAAGAAAGAATTAGGAGCTCCACTGGAAAGCAATTTATCAACTAGAAGAATTTATCAACACCAAGCTGCATATGGAATGAATTCCTAAAGTGGTTATTATAAAACAACAGAACAGTGACTATCACAGCAAAGATACCTAAATTTCTTAACATGGGGGAGGAAAAAGAAAGCAACAATGTGGGTCATTAAAAGAAGCCAAAAAAATAAAATAAAATAAAACAAAAGGTTGGAGACCAGAACTTCTAACAGTTCACACCAGTAGTCCATCATTAGAACCTTCAAAAGAAAAAAATAGAACACATAAAACAATGAAAATGAAACTTAAAATGTGATAGGAACCCCTCAAAAAAAAAAGACAAGACAAAAACCTGAAAGGTCCATGCAGCAGGCCGGAATGCAGGAGCCAACCAGGAAGCCCACCTGGGGGGCAGGAATGCGGATACCTGCCTGGAGGACTCAGACAATGAGCCTCCCCCCTCCCCCTACGAGTCTCATC